CAGCCTTGTTGGCAAAAAGTGACAGAGATTTGAGTTCAAGGCTGGAAAATTTAAATAGGAAACCCAGGCAATGAGAACCACAAAAAGAATGAGTTAGAAGTTCTACCAAAACTATGACATAGCTGAACTATGACAGAGAGAACCTCCCTGGAGCCTGGTGTAAAAGCAAACAAATACCAGACAGGAATCTAGTCCTAAAAGGTAAAACTACTCAAACTATATCCATGACTTTGATGCTTTACTTAAATGAGTGCATTCCCCACTGTATACATCATGATTGGCAGAAAGCTGAAACTTACAAGCTTGAAATATCAGAGCACAACCCAAATTTGACAGAGCAGCTGGAAATTAGAGGAGATACCCTACAGCCAAGGAAACCACAGAAAAGGGTGATCCCCATCACTGACTGACCAAAAATTGAATAGGTAAAGGGTGGTTTAAGCCACAGCGAACCAGGCTGAAAGAGCAGCTGTGAGAAACTATGAGCAGAGGTAGCAACAACTGCACACACAAGAGAGGAAATGTTGGCAGTTTGAATCTAGACAAGTTAGAACTAATAACCCCCCCTCCCCGGAATCAATAATCCTCAAAATTAAACAATAGAATCCATAGTCATTACAGTATATTAACAACAATGTCCAGTTTTCAATTAAAAATTACTAAGCATGTAAAGAAATAGGAAGAAAAGTTGGAGAAAAGGCACTCAATATAAAGGGGCTGATTTCAGCAAACACTTCAAAACTTCTTTGTTGAAATTATAATTATATTGATTGATGTTAGAGTGTTAAAGCTGCTTGGGTTCTGGAGATAAATACCATTTGATCATGAAAGCTGTACTGTACATATTTTTTTACAGTTTTTCATGGAAACTATACATTTTAAAATTGGGTTTCATATAAGATCCTTTCCCCATGGCAAATCACAAAAGCTATTGCTATTAGCATTCTTTCTTCTGTTATTTCAGATTTAAAAAATCAGATATTTGTACTGAAATATAAACTCCATAAATGTGGAGATGTGTTTATTTTGTATCCCTAGTGACTACTACAGTGTCTGACATAGAGTAGGTGCTCAATTACTATTTATTGAATGAAGGAATAATGAATGACTAAAAACTGAAATTAGTTGAAATGAGTATCTGGCTCCATGAAATAAGAATTACAGATATTTTCCCTCCAAAATGAGGTAATCAAGGGCCTGATTATGTAAAACTAGTTGTTAATCTTGTTTTTGTATCCATGTCTGTTTTAGATTTCTACATAGAAACTCAGAAGTAGAAAAAATTCATCAACACTAGCTCAATATTGATAGATATGAATTTTAAAATGTAAGATACAGGAGGGGTACTGTTAAATTTGTGGATCAAAATAATTTATAGGGCATAATGTTAGTTAAAACATAATGGATGAATATATACTTAAAATTTTTTAAAAACAAATTTGAACCTTTGATCTTTCAGTTTAATGACTTTAATCGCTCACTAATATGTTGATTAAGTAAACATACAAGTTAGTACACTCAAAGGAAAAATAATGACCATAGTTATGTACTAATGAGTAGACCCTAGGAAAGATATCAGCAAAGCATGTATTTGTCATGTAGAAATTCTCTTTAATATCGTATATAGCATGTTCTTAGCCTTTAGGTCACTAGAGGGTGCCAGTGTTTCAGACCAACACAATTCAGATTATTTCTGCTTTAGTACCAGAAAGTGCCAATCATAATCTGATAGCCAAAGTCCTATTGTGTGACTCCTCAGATCCCCCAAATCACTTGTTTGCAAAGTGAATAATTACAAAGTGGGCAACTTGGAACAAAATGCTGATGGGAGGAATTTGTTGCATGAACGATCTGAAATGCAACACATGTTGTGCATTGATGTAGAGGTGAGTAAAAAGGCTAATATTAACTCTTTAATACTACATATCCTGATGTTTGTTACTCTTATTAATTCCAATTTACTACAGCATGCACTGTAACAGGGGAAGTAAAATGTCAAAAGGTCAAATATTCATATATAAAGAGTTTTTTTATGGAACTAGAGAGATGTTAAGTTTGCTTTTGGCTTTGTGAATCATGGAAAGGATGGGAGAATATATTTGTAAATGATATATCCAGTAAGTGGTTAACATCCAAAATACATAAAGAACCCATACACCTCAATACCAAAAAACAAATAACCTGATTAAGAAATGGACAAAGAACCTGAATAGACATTTTTCCCAAAGAAGATGTATAGATGGCCAATAGGCACATGAAAAGATGTTCCATATCACTAATCAGGGAAACACACATCAAAACCACAAGGAGATATCACCTCTCACCAGTCAGAATGGCTACTATCCAAAAGACAAGAAATAACAAGTGTTATTGAAAATGTAGAGAATGTGGAACCCTTCTACACAATTGGTAAATGTAAATTGGTGCAGACACTGTAGAAAGCAATATTCCTCAAAAAACTAAAAATAGCAATACTGTATGATCCAAAAATTTCACTTTTAGTAATTTACTCAAAGAAATCTCTGATTTGAAAGGATATATGCACTCCTACAGTTATTGCCTCATTATTTACAATAGCCAAGATATGGAAACAAACAAAGTATCCATCAATAGATGAATGGATAAAGAAGAGGTGGTACATATATACAACAGAATATTATTGCCATTTGTAACAATATGAATGGACATAGAGGGTATGCTGGGTAAGATAAGCCAGGCAGAGAAAGACAAATATTATATGATTTCACTTATGTATGGAATCTAAACAAAACAAAGCAAAATAAAACAAAATGAACAAAACAGCAATAGACTCAGACACAGAAGTGACTGGTGGTTACCATGTGAGAGCGGTTGGGCTGAGTGGGTGAAACAAGTGAAGGGGATAAAGCATAAAATCTCAATCATAATATAAATTAGTCACAGGGATGAAAGTACAGCATAAAGAAAGTAGTCAATAGTTCTGTAATATCTTTCTAAGTTGACAGTAACTACACTAGTTGGGATGAGGATTTAATAATGTATATAACTGTTGAATCATTATATTGTATACTTGAAACCATTATAATATTGTATAGCAACTATACTTCAATTTAAAAAAAATCAAAAGTCTTAATTTTTAAATAAAATATATTGCTTGAATTTTAGTGCTGAAAAATTTGATACATACGTTCATCCAAATACATAAGATGTATACATAGGTAATTAAGAATACAATCAAATGTTATTTCACTTTTTAAATGACATTCTAGGAAAACGCTTTCCCAGTATAGGTTTGAGATTAATTCCAACTAGTAATACAAAAGTTTAGGGAAAATTTTAAAAGCAAACCGCTTCACTATTCCTTCCTAGATATTTTTTTTATTACAAACATGACATTTTAAAAGAGAAATAAAATTCAAAAGTGCAAAAAATTCTTAAATGGCAACAAAACTAATTAAGTGAAATTGATGTGACTGATGAATGTTAAAACAGTTTGTTGCATTTTCATTTTTTCTTTCGAAAACGGTATGACCCTATAATGATAGAGCAATATAACACTATAATATTTTTTCAAGCTCTTATCAAGAAAACAAGAGCACAAAAAGAAAGCAGGGGAACACATTCCATCCCTATCTCCTACCCTCATTTACTCCCCGAGAGAATACCAGCTATGTAAGCTAGGAAAAGCAAAGAAACCGGATTTGTTCTAAAAGTCAATCTGAATTTGGAATAATGGTCCTCACAGTGCTGTACGACTAGGTCTAATTTCCTAAATGCAAGAAAAAAAATGAAGTTTGTAAATAATTTTAAAAAATGTTTTTCCCCTGGACAATGTGAAGAGGCAGAAAAAACAGGCCCTCTCTAGAACTGGTCTTACCGTTTCACCTGCTGAGAGTGACTATGGTATCCATGTAAAGAACACTGACTCAAATAAGATGGTAACTGGAGAACTGCTGAAAGACCTTGGGCATATCATTACACATCATGGAGCCTCGGCTCACTGTAAAAGGGGAGCAGTAGTAATAGCGACAGACCTTGGAGGTTCTCTGGAAAAATAGGAAAATGTATAAAAGATGTTACCAGGCAATTACTCCCATTGTTACTAAACGTGAAGGCCATCACAGTCCTAATTGCCATGAACATGGGCAAGCGGGTGGAGAATGTTGGGAGGCTGTGCAACAGCCTGCCTCTCTACTCCGCTCCCTCTCTCTCCAGCTCCATTGGCTGGCAGCGCTTGACCTCACTACCTTTGAAATGCAAGTAGCTGCCCCTACCTCTAGTCATTTTTGCCCAGGCTCACTTTTTAAAGAGGGGAAGGAGAATTTAGGTGGGGGTGACAATTGGGATTCCTTCATCTTTGAATTCTACCATCATAGTTTATTTCCGTGTACCTATTCCCCAAGGTCAAGGCACTAGTAGTATTACAGTTGCAGCGTGCCTGGGAACAGAGCAGTTTGGTCTGCTCTTGATTATTCTAGGGTCGCTAAGTAGAAATGGAAAAAAATTCGTGCTCAGCTATACGAAGGGTGTGGTTTGCCTAAATTGCTTCTGAGAGGCGAGTTACACTTGCCAGGGTTACCAAAGAGCTTCAGAGGGAGGATCCGATCCGTATAAACGTCTGTGGATGGAGAAAGAACCTCAGGTCTGTCTTGGCAACTTGTCAGGAAAGCCAGTGAGGCATTTTAGCTCCCGCGGTCCAAGGACGCTCCTCTGGCAAAGAATAGGAGTTGGCGCGGGCGGGCGGGGCGGGCTGGCTGGGCGTCCCGGCCGGCCAGGAGCTTGGGCATTTCCAGGGGAGTCCTCCTGGGAGTTCTCCCGGCCCGGGCGGCCAGGGCAGCGGCCACGCCGCAGGCAGGAGACGCGCTCAGTTGCTCGTCCATCCTCCTCCCACCGCGCTCACGCCCACACCCACCGGCGCCCCGCCCCGCTCGGTCTTATAGAGGCCCCGACACCCCGGCGCGGCAAGGCGCTGGAGGCTTCCCGGAGTCGACGGCGCGGCTCGCGCGCGGCCCGAAAGCCCAGGCGCCGCGGCGGCTGCGCCCCGCATCATGGAGGGCAGCCCGGCCCCAGCGCCGGCCGCCACCGACCTCCGCCGCCGCCCGCGCCGCGCCCGCCGGCTCCCGCTGCCGCTCTCCCGGCGCCGTCCTCTCCTCACCTCGAAGCCAGCATGAAGGAGACCCAGGGCGACGGGAGAGCCCGTTTCTGCACCCGCCTCAACCATTCCTACCCGGGCATGTGGCCGCCCGAGCGCTCTGCCGAGGCGCAGGGCAACCTCACGCACCCCGCGGGACCCAGCGAGGACTGCGGCTCGGTGTCCGTAGCCTTCCCGATCACCATGCTCATCACCGGCTTCGTGGGAAACGCGCTGGCCATGCTGCTGGTGTCGCAGAGCTACCGGCGCAGGGAGAGCAAGCGCAAGAAGTCGTTCCTGCTGTGCATCGGCTGGCTAGCTCTCACCGACCTGGTGGGGCAGCTGCTCACCAGCCCGGTGGTCATCGTCGTGTACCTGTCGGAGCAGCGCTGGGAGCACCTGGACCCATCCGGGAGGCTGTGCACCTTCTTCGGTCTGACCATGACTGTCTTTGGGCTCTCCTCGCTCTTCATCGCCAGCGCTATGGCCGTCGAGCGGGCGCTGGCCATCCGGGCGCCGCACTGGTACGCGAGCCACATGAAGACGCGCGCCACCCGCGCGGTGCTGCTGGGCGTGTGGCTGGCAGTGCTGGCCTTCGCCCTGTTGCCAGTGCTGGGCGTAGGTCAGTACACCATCCAGTGGCCTGGGACATGGTGCTTCATTAGCACCGGGGCACGGGTCAATGGGACTAGCTCACCTCACAACTGGGGCAACCTTTTCTTCGCCTCCTCTTTTGCCTTCCTGGGGCTCTCTGCACTGGCTGTCACCTTCGCCTGCAACCTGGCCACCATTAAGGCCCTGGTGTCCCGCTGCCGGGCTAAGGCCACGGCGTCACAGTCCAGTGCCCAGTGGGGCAGGATCACGACCGAGACGGCCATCCAGCTCATGGGAATCATGTGTGTGCTGTCGATCTGCTGGTCGCCGTTGCTGGTAGGTAGTTCCAGTTTATGGGGAGGTCAGAGTGGGTGTAAGTGAGGACGGGTACTGGTTATTTCTTGAAGGGCTAGCACCTGTTAGGGGCGTGTTTGCAACCACAGCATTGGATAGGCCTCTGCCCGCATGATCTTGATTGCAGCATCCGAGTTGAGCTCCTCACTTACTTCCTGAGCACCTTCTGAGTGCCAGGCATCACGTTGGCTCTACTTAGGCACCCATGGAGACCACAAGGCTGCTCACATTCTAATTGGAGAGAGTAGGAGGTTACCCAGGTGTCATTTCAGTACCTATGCAATGGTAGAGATTTCCCCTGAGTGCCCTGGGAGAAGAATGGTGATGACAGCTGTAGCTTGGTGCTCTAGGTTTTCTCTTTTCAGATATCTCTCACATATTGGAGATTTTTTCAGTCTGCAGAAGTACCCTGCCTGTGACCGCAGGCAGCCACTACCTTCTTGCAGCTTCTGAGCCATTGCTATGCTATCATAGCCTGTGCTAACCTACCTTGCAGGCTCACACTTGACTGAAGGCAGGAGGGTGAAGATGCATCTTGCTGCTGCGGCCAGCCTTAGCTCTTTGGAATGGTGCTGTACCATCTAGGAAGTGCCTAAACTGACTGTCAGTTTGTGGGACCCCGAGACCTGATGACAACAATACAGGGCTTCTGCAAGGACAGTCCTGGGATAGGAGGGAGAGGTTTCTGCACTTCCCAGCTCTTCACAGCTCCACACAGCCTGAGATCAAGTGATGTTTCCACATGCGTCTTGTCTGACACACGCTCTTAACTTGTACTTCGAAGGTTTCTTGTGTTACTTTTAGTTAGAGACTTTTGTAGGTGAGTGCTGTTTATTAATTCCTGATGAATGGATTATTTTTTGGCCCCAAGCAGTCGGTCTTAACAGAAGCTGTTGCAGAAAGAGCAACCTGGTTACGTGGCAGTTACAGCAGATTATATTTTAGAACTGGAAATTTATTAGACAGTTGCAAAAAACTTAAGAAACCCAGGACACCATTTTCAGAACCTGCTTGTGTATTTTTTTAAATAATGGTAAATATACTTATGTAAAATTTACATTTTAACTATGTTTAGGTGTACAGTTCAGTGGTATTAACTATATTGACATTGTTATACAGCATGGGTATACTTTTAAGTCCCTTTTATTTAAAAATAGATACATAGTTCCTTTTTTCCTCCCACCTGCCCATGCATTTGACAAAATAGATACTCCAAAATACCTGGGTTTGACTGGTGTAGTATATTTAGAGCACAAGTCTGAGCTCCAAATCAATGATAAGTGTTGACAAGGAGAGTTATGTTGGGACTTAACTTCCCACAAGTCACTTTATGGTCACAGTTCTGTGTTCCAGGAGCTACAACTCAGGCTGATGTCATTACCATGGCTTATCAAAACCAGCACCAATTTTAGACATATTTACTTCTATGGTTGAGGAATGGGGTATGTAAGTGGTCAAACTGAAGGGAAAAAGAGTTCAAAGTAATAAACACTTTACTGAAGTATGGTAATTGACATAACCTTAGAGGCAAACAGGTTTTCACAACTGTCATTTGAGTCCCTTATCAATGAGTTTGCTCTGTCACACACTTTATATCCTAGAAAAAAATGCAATTAAATAATATGAACAAATGCTTACCCATAAAGATAACGAGACTTATAATAATTGCTTTTTCTTAAGTAGGAGAGAAACTATATAGTATGTTTTTTATTTCAAAACATTGATTCTAATCCAGGAGCATAGAAGCCTTAGGAAGAATGTACATCAATTCTTAACATTGTAACATAGAATACCAAACTCACTCTCTTAAGCAAGGCTATGTTTAGAACTAGTTTTATTTAATTTCAACTAATACGTACATTAAAAGTATATTTACTGCTTTTCAGCATTTCATTAGACACTTCGTTGATTCAGTTCTCATAAAACCATCAAACGTCAAATAAATTTAACATTTGTTAATTTAACAAATAAAATTAACACTAGAACATAGTGAATTAGCTATTCAGTATATTTATGTGGAAGTGAGAGATAATTTTTTTACACTTTTTTTCTGACTGTGGGTAAAATAGACATTGCTATTAGTATTTTTTTATCTGGGTGTAGGATACTAGTATAAATAACCAAACTCCTTACTTAAAAGGCCCCTGATTGTTTATGTTTATGTGATGCATCAAATACTGTTAAAATCAGCTGGTTGACTCAGCAATGCAAACTGTTTGACTTATTATTATTATAGTTATTTTATGAACTACACTTACCGAATATTTCAGTTTTTGACATGATAGCCAAGTTTTTAGTAGCAGGAATAACCTTAGGGATTTTCACTGAAAGCCATGAGTCTATTTTTACTTTTGTAAACCTGATACTCCCCAAGTAGAATGTGGCCAATAGTATAGCTATCTTGAAAAAAGGAAACATAAAGCTAATCAACATTGTGAAAGTGTGGTCTGAGGAACAGATTCTCATCTACAACTTTGAAACTGGATAAAAGCAGCTTTAGAAACTTCTGCTTTAATCTTGAATAAGCAAATTCCCTATTCAATATGCAAAAATGCAGAAATGCTTCAATTCAAGAAAATATTTCACAATGTAAATGTGATTTTTTTAATTTAAGGAATCACTAATGTATTTTAACAAATGACATTTGCCTTAATTATACATGTGATAAATATATGTAATAAATTATTTTACAGAAGTAATGCTCTTTTATAGTATAAGAAGTTACTACTTGACAGCTAATCTTGTCTGCAAGTTTCTGCACTATTGAGGATATTGCTTGAAGTGATTAAGCATGTGAATTGGCATTATAGAAAAATCTTCTATAATTTATTGTTATTTATAAGAATTTAGATTGTTCAGAATACTTTTTCTGAGTTTACTACATTTTAGTAGTAAAATACATTTAGGCACTATGGAAGAGATAATAAGTAGAGTTATTAAAAACTGGTCAAAGAGATATAATTTGTACTGAGGAGCAGAATTCCCACATTTATGAGTGAAACAATTAGAGAACAATACAAAATATAATGTAATTAATGCCTTTGGCTCGGGAATAAAGTCCATCAGAATTCATAGGAGTAGGCTTCCAGGAAGAGATAGAATAACTCAGCCTGACCTCAAGACTGGGAGTGAGTGTGTGCAGAAACCTAGCCTGATGAGAACAGAGCGTGCACACTCTGAAACCGTAAGAAGAATAGTTTGAAAAGGTTCATGGGGCTAGATTGAGCTAGTTAGGATGAATATGGGAAGAGGACTGTGTTCTTTGCCAGTAGGCAGTAGAACGTCTATTATGGGTTTTTGAATAGGGACAGAGTTTTTGAAAGATTGGCAGGGGTATAGGGTGTGAATAGATTGAGGCTGAAGAACGGGAAAGTGAGATCGGTTATGCATTGCTTTGCAGGTCAGTTAGGGTCTTAGGGTAGAGACAGTGGGAAGACAGGAGCGAAATAAAAAAGGCAAGAGAGAACTAAAGCTAATAGAACTGATTGATTTAAGGAGTGTTTGGTTCAACAAAATTTCTGCATACATACTATGTCCTGTTCACTGTGGTAAATATTTTCACATACATTACCTCATTTAACTGCACCCTTTAAAATTTCCACTGTTTTCTACATCATTTGGAAAAAGAACTCAAATATAAAGAATATTAGAACCCGAATACTAGTTCAGGATATCTGACTCTGAGTTTATTTTCAGTTGTTGTTGTTTATTTGATTGTTTAGCTTAGACAAAGGCCAGGAATTCTAGTCCTAAATAGTGGCACTGGGAAAGTTACTTTCCTCTTCTCTGTAAGTACAGATGTAGGACTAATAGATTATATAAGGTATTTTTTCCATTTACATTATTCTCATGTTCTCTTATTTAGGACAATCATGGTTCAATAAACCAGAATAGGAAATTTGGAAAGGAGACTGTTTAGCTGATTGTTTTTTCGTAAGAATGGGGCTTTTGGACACAGTACATATAGTGATGGAGGATTATCTAAATGATATATTCGAAAACCAGTATAACTTGAAGATTAAGAACATAAATCAGGGCTAAAAAAGAATGTAGATTTTTAATTTTGAGTTTATTAAAAAGAGCCAAGAATTAAACAGTTCTTAAGCCATCACATTTGAAGAAATTCAGATGGTCTAGAGTTGTAGCATAATTGTGACTCATTGGCCTTTGTCTTTTTAAAAAGCTGTAAGGGTCAAAACTCAATTATGAAAGTTTCCAAGGGTTCAGTTTTTCAAAATAACACTCAGGATTATGTGTTATACACATTTATAACAGACAGTAATCTTTTTTGGGAGTGCTGAGGGGTGGTAGTGAGGGACGTTTCAGCCTGGTTCTGGCCTTGCATGACTGGGAAACAGGGAGAAAAATCCTCCCTAAAACTCTTAACATTTGTGCAACATTTTTATCATCCACCAGTGTTCCACAATTATCTCATTCATTCCTCATGACTCTAAGATCAACAGTTATAACGTCAAATTCTGACTCTCCATTTTCTTCAATCCATTATCATAGAGGTAGGTAGGAAGTTTACATTTCTACTCCCGCTGTGCTTCTTGAGGATTATTAGATGGCCTCTCAAGTCTCCTTTTCCCTAGGAAAGTCCAACTTTCATATGTTAGACAGGGTGACCAAAGAAGGAGCCTAATGTTTCTTGGAGTTTGCCTTGTATCTTGTCTCCTATGTGTATATCAACATTTTACAGTAAACAGTAATTCATTCTTATACAGAAATGACAATTGGACAGTGTGTGAGTTTTTAAACAAGAGGGACACACACCCACACAGAAATAACACTATGCAGTGGAAATTCTCTGTGACTCTGCCATCTTTACTCAGAAGACTTCTGTCTCCTTTCCCACTTGCCACTTCACCCTGCAGTCAGTGAACAATAGCAAGCACCCTGCTTGGACTGGCTGAAGATGTTAGATGTCACTCTGTTGGAGAAGCCTTGATCTCTTGAGGCTTGGCTGGGTGCTCCAGGGC